GAAACACGAATTGTCAATAAATCTTATGATACCCATGTTTTCATGTGTGCAACAAGATTTTATGATACGTCAGATGACCCATGTTTTCATGTGTGCAACAAGATTTTATGATACGTCATCCTCTCTCAATATATCTTTTTAAAGATTTGAAAAACTTGGTATCAGAAACGATTCCTTCTTGTGGGGTCTGCAATGAAGCTGGAGTAAAGGTTTGATCAGACATATGGAAATTGATATGTGATGAAGCTAGAGTTTAGGTTGACATTCTGAATCATCAGTAATTAATGCCTGTAAATTTTTTGGGTTTGCATTGTATCAAACACCAAAGAACACATATTATTATATTTCTCAATATAATACATGTAAAAAAAGATTAGAACTTCTTTTTTGTATTTCTTATCAAACACCAAAAGAGTAGATAAATGTGTAAAAATGGTAAAAATGTGTAAAAATGGCATTGAATAGTTGTATATACAAACTCTATGCACATGATGAAAATTAGGGGGCAAGACAACACCATAAAGAGTAACGGTAGGTGGATTCAAGTTTGATGAGTCCATGGTAAGATATGTGTTACATGTGTCGATCCCTAACTTGACATAAATGCAAATGATTGAAGATCAGTTGTCTAGTTACATAAATGCAATGTTATACTCCGATCTTTCCCTAAGAACGACGTAGTTGGTAAGAGATTAACATTAATTTCGTGTGCGACATCGATTGATCCATTTATTGTGCTCTTCTCTACTATGACCATTAAATGATCTTTTATACCTTATTGCATGGTTTTTCTCAACAGGTAACTGTCGGTATGGAGCAGACCTGGCAAATCGATTATGCCTCACTTCGTAAATCAGCTAGTGCTTGGCATGATGAGTTTGCTACTCTTCCAAAGCCCTTACTTGTGGTTAACATTGGCTGGCCTAGAAGTAGGTTCTGTTACTCTTCTAAGCTACTAGACAGCATTCTTACATTTCCAGCATATAGCACATGAGCACCTGTTTCTTTTGGATACTGAAACTTATACCTTATTGCATTTCCAGCATAGTTCAATTCTAGACACAAACAAAACCCTTGAGATGACATTTCTAATTGGCAAGCTTACTCGGAATCAGAATCAAGCTAAGGAAAGTCAATATTCGTTGATTAGGAGAAGTACCTTGTAATATAATGCAAGTATCGAAGCATTGATACTTTACTTAAGGCTCATAGAATTGAGATCATTCAGTAATCAGTAGACCGATTGATGCATTATTTCAGATTGAGTAGCATCTTACTTGTGCAGGTTCCATCAGGTGGATAGTGATGAGCTGACTATTGCTGTCAACTTTTGGTGGCAATCAAACATTATGTCTAACTTGGCTGAACATATGGATTCATATTATCTGCGCCGAATTACAAGAAGGTCTAGATTACAAATCTTTGGTTGTTATGCATAGTATCTTTTTGCATTACCATTTTTGTTTTGTTCCCTAATTTCTGTTCTCCTTTTTCCTTGCATGTGCCTGAATCTTGTGTCATATAATAAGATTGATTGACAGAGAAATGGTGTGTAAGTTATTCTGTCTCATCAGTATTGGAAGTTATGATATTTTTCTTACTCACCCTGATTTTGAGTTAAAAATGTATGTTTGTCCTCTCACCTTTGATTCGTTTACCAAGTTTACTATCCTCTTTATAGCCGTGTAACATGGAAATTGACAGAGCCTATTAGTTTCGAAGCCGTCTTCAACTGATTTGAGCGTATTGACCAATCTCACACTGGGCAGGCAGGTAATAAGACCTGATGTTGTAAATCCTTTGAAATCCTTAAATTGTTTGTCTGACCTGGCCGGTGATGGATTTTGATGCAATGACTGCAGAAGGTGTTAATGATATTTCAAGCAATGAAAGCATTAAGAAAGGGCTGGGATCATTACGAGAAATAACGTCGCTGCAGGATTTAGAACCTTCTGCTTGCCAGGCACTTCATGAGCTTATTTCCTTAGTCCATGACCATGTTAATGCCGTTGATATAAGTAGGAGACTGGAGCACACTTCCCCCAGCTTCAGAGAGTGGCAATAGCAAGTTCCTAGTGAATGTGTTGTCTTGTTTAGAAGATGATCATGTTGCCCATATGCTTTGGAATCTTGAACCATCTAAACTTCAGGATGTTCTCCTTGCAATGGCAGTAAGTTTACTTTAAAATGCACTATTTCCTGTTTATATCCTCACATGGTATCAGTGAAGCTAGGTTAAGTTACCGTAAAATATTTGTTACTTTGCGGCTTCATCTCTGGTTGTATATAATACTATAACATTTCATTTGCTTCTAGCGCACTTCCTCCTCTTGGTCAAAATGGAGAACTCTTTTAGGTTTACGTGGAGTTTTTAGGTGAAATCCTTTGTATTTACGTGCTCATATGATGTAACTCATTTCAGCGTTATTTCCCAAGAACCTTAGAAGCGTTAATACTCCACATGCTCTCACCTGTTGCTGCGGAAGTCCGAACACAGAAGTTTGATGAGATTGACCAACAGACGGGTGAAGAAGTTAGGTTTGTTCTGAAGCATTGTTGTTTGTATTTCCATACTTTGAAACTGCAGAGTAACTTGTTATTTGTCTTTCTGTTTCCCTTTCCAATTCTTAGGAATCAATTCTATCGGGGCTGCGATGGATATAATATTAAGTAGGAAAGAGGCGTTTGCATTTCAGGTATGTACTCTAGCATCACTTGGTCGTGTGTGAATCATCGTAAATTCAAAGGAGAGAAAATTTTGTCATCAGCCTAATGTTTGCATGAAACCAGTTACATGAATCCAAATTTTTGCATTTTGAGCTTCATTAACTTGGGGTTTCTCCGTTTCCTCTCCCATCGCAAATCGCGAAAGAGGACCTCCATTGAGTTGATATCACTTCACAAATGGGCTTTTGGTTGCATCTTGACATAGAATTTAGGGTCACGGTTTATTGGTACTTACTTCTAACGTAAGATGCCTTGGTGAAAGTATTGTTCTAACTTCTAAGCAGAACCGCAGAACTTTAATCTGACTAGTTGATGCAGAAAAGACCTCATCATATTAAAGTCTTTGAAGATCCACATGGACATAAACATTTATTTGTTTCATTCGTTACACAGGCTTTTAAGAATGTACTAGACAAGTATTTGGGGGTCAACATTGCTTCACCAACGATAAACATATGAAGCATGGTCGTGTGTACTGGGGCGAGATGAATGTGATCGGACAAGACAGCATGATGCTTATTAATGAAAAAATGTTGCTGTTGATATTGGTAGGTTCGTGTTCCGTTCACTCTCATTAGATTCTTAGTTTTTTCTTTTGTATCGTCTTTTTTTCTCCTTAAGATTGTAAATTCTGTGGAGAAGTAGATTACATTGACTTGTAAATCCTTGGAGTAAAAGAGTGGACTTAAAAGAACACAAGTATATTTTTTTCAAAAAAAATAGAATATATTTTCCCAAGAACTGGTTCAACAAACTACCTCAAATGATG